ATTCACGGAACATAATAAAAGATAGGTGCACTCTTCAATTATTTATGCCACCGTATGTTTCATTAATCAACATTATTGTTTATTATTAATCGAATGCAACGTTCTAGCTTTGGATTATAAAAGAAGTTGTATACGGAACTAGATTATAGGCTGACAAAGATGTCTTATCTAATTAAAAAGGTGCTATTCCAATTAATTTCATCCATATTTCACCTAAACGTACTATTTTAAGGGTAGCCTATGGTACCGAATTAGGTATGTCAATGGATCAGATTTTATCTAAATCAAATCCATATCCAGTATATCTGAGTAGGGTTTAGGTTTAATTTATTAAACCTAGACCCTAACCAAATCTAGATCCTGTAAGAGAATCATGAATTTGGGTGGAGTATGGTTTTCTATGATTTAGATCCAAATTCAAATCCAAATTAGACCCTACCAATACCCATGTAATATTCTATGTGTGTGTATGTATAAGTAAATTTGGAAAATAACCTAATATTCTATGTCATTATAATTGATACAAACATTTTCAAGAAAAAGAGAAAAAATGAAAGCAAATAAATAAAAGATTGAATATAGACACAGATGAAAATTTGAAAACAAATAGTTTTAGTTGATAATAATTCTTTCTTTCAGTTCATAATATTGTGTTCAACATCATGAATGTTGATTTTATTATTTGAAAATAAAAATTGGATGATATTTATGTTATTTTTTAACTCTATATATTTTCAAAATATTTTTACTTTGGTTCTTCACTGTATGTTCAAAAAAGTATTCACAAATACCCGTTGAATACCTAAACCTATGAGGGTTCGAGTTTGAGTTTACTTTTTGAGACCCATAAGGGGTTGGGTATAGGTTTAGGTCTAACTAAATTTAATAAGTTTGAATGTAGATCAAAGGGATCCAAATCAAACCCTACCTATTAAAATACCTATAAAATACCTATACTATATAATATAAATTAAACCTTGTCAAATCCCTTGGGCCCACAAATTATGTTGACTTGGTAAACCCCTGTATAATTACCTCCATTTTTTTATATAAAATATCATAATTTCATTAAAATTTATATTAATGATAGAAATTACATCATCAAACATACACAGATATTAAAGAACAGGATAATATAGTGAGATCTATCGAATAGATCCAATTAGCAAATCTTTGCAAATCTAATTAGCAAATCTTTGCAACATCATTGATGATTGAGATATAGTCAAGTAACAAGGTTTAAAACTTTTAGAATTGTTCCATTTAGGACACACGATAAGAGATGAATCTACTTTCCAATTATTTGCACAAGATTTTATAATTCAAAATATAAATAATAATAATTGAAATTTATAGCGAGTCCACCCTTTCTATTTTATATGCTTATTCTGTGCTATACTTTTGAGGACATAATAGAAAAACCCAAAATTTGAATTTAATACCATATCAACACATAGTTTTCCTTTTGATTTTTCTATGTTGCCACATAAGATTGATATTTATTTGATAAATGTTAGAGTTAATGAAACTAATTTGACAAACTGTTGATAGAAGTGGACATGGCGAAGTGGACATGGCGAAGTGGACATGGCATTGACTCCGTAATTCTTCTATTGATTAAGGTTTCTTATCCTATGCACCTGGAACGATACGGACAAGGGGCTGGAGCGGTTGCCAGACAACCGCTTATAAACTTTTCATGGCCAAGATGTGGTGGGCCCATCATCAACGGCCAAAATGAAAGCGAACAAAATGGAGATGAGTGTAGAGGATTGTTGCTTTAATACAAGCTTAACTTTTAACTCCGTTTGGTCTGGCAGTTAAGGGTATGAAAAATTCAAAATCAAAATTTGAAAATCAACTTTTGGTACGACCGCACGGGATTTAAAACTCTTTCAACTTAAAAGATGTGGGAAGAAAATGGCGGTAATGGATTTTCTCTGAATACTTTGTTGCTGTAGCTCCTTTTGCTTTTCCTCTTTCAACAAACTCCTTCTGTTCTTCTCCTCTCAACAAATTATTTTGCATAACATAGACATAAATTTTTGTCTTCTTCTCTTCCAACTCTTAAATAAACCTTATCAAAACGGGCATCTTTTCTGAGGTGTGTACAAGATAATTGTGAAGATCCGCTGCAGCAACAATACACGCCGATTTAAGTAGTGGATGACTGAGATAGATATTCATCGAGTAACAAATGCATAGCTGAGACTTGTGAGCGGCCCATCTGAAATTTACTGCTTGGTGAACTCTGTCCAAGGTAAACGCTGATATTATATGTAATTTGATTGTAATAAATGTGTTATTTAGTGAAGCATGATTTAAAAATTATAAGAAGTATGTCATTATCCTTTTAGAGAGAATGGTTAACTTGTACAATAAAGATCCCGTACAGAATTTCAAAATATAAATGAGAATGTGTACAAATAAAATAACATAAGCGTAAAAATAATTTAACAATGTGACCAACTTAAATAACTACACAAACGGTATAGATGACAATGTATAGATTTTGAGAATTCTGTCAAACCTTACGCTATGTAAAAGTGTACGAGGCATACATGCATTTGTTATGTTACAAGTTGATATAAAGGGTGTACACATTGTTATAAAGTGTGAACATATGATTTTAAAGTATGAAAATTCTGATATTATGCACAAATTGGTTATAATATTTGTTTGAAATGTATATATTTTGTAGTGAAATATGCTATGCAAATTATTAGAGTTATGTGATTACCTATTACAAAGAAGATACACATCCATAAAAATTATTTTACAAAATGTTGTAAGGTGTGTACACGTCGTTATAAAGTATGTACATATGTGAATACAAATAATTAAGTGCTTATGATGTGAATAAAGAAATACAAAATAAATATAATTGTTTGTCTTGAAAAACAATAGCAAAAAATGCTTTTGTCGAATACAGGACAATGGAAGAAGCATTGTGTCCTAAGATCGGCATGGAGTTTCAGTCAGAAGATGAGGCATACAACTTCTACAATAGGTACGGATTAGTTGTTGGGTTTAGTGTTCGGAAAGACTACTTGAACAAGGATAAAGACGGTGTAGTTACATCGAGAAGGTACACATGTTGCAAAGAAGGTTTCAAACCACGGTACGAAGGAGATGTAAAACCAAAGAGAACTCGGGCTGAAACAAAAACCGGATGTGAAGCTAAAATGGGGATAATTTTGAACAGAGAAACAATGAAGTATCAGGTTCGAGATCTGGTAATCGAGCATAATCACATACTACACATTTCAGAATGTGCTCATATGATGCGTTCGCAAAGAAAAGTAAGTATTTCTCAAGGAGCCCAAGCTGAGATTGCAAATGATGCAGGAATATCCTTGAAACAATCCCATGAACTCATGGGAAAAGAGGCAGGTGGATTAGGCAATATTGGCTACACTCGTGATGACTTAAAACGCTATCTACGAACAAAAAGAGAGAGAGGATTAAAGTATGGTGAAGCTGGTGCAATGCTACAATACTTTGAAGAACAAAAATTGGAAAATCCGTCATTCTTCCACGCAGAGCAGCTTGATTGTGAAGAACAAATTACAAATATATTTTGGGCTGATGCATCAATGCTGATGGATTATACCTATTTTGGAGATGTGATTACATTTGACACCACATATAAAACTAACAAGGAGTACAGACCATTGGGCGTATTTGTGGGATTCAATCAATTTAGACAATTGGTTATTTTTGGAGCAACTCTATTGTATGATGAGACCATTGAATCATTCAAGTGGGTGTTCGGTACATTTGTAGAGGCAGTTTGTGGAAGGCACCCAAAAACCATCTTCACAGATCAGGATGCAGCCATGGCCGCTGCAATTTCAGCTGTTATGCCTTCAACATACCATGGTCTGTGCACTTTTCATATTAGAGTCAACTTCATGAAACACCTTGGGAACTATTACAAGGATGGTAGTAATCTCCCATATAGATTTGGTGAATGTATGTATGAGATAGAAGATGAAAATGAGTTTATCATGGCCTGGGATGCAATGCTAAAAGAACACAAGCTCGAAACAAATGAATGGTTGTGTGGCATTTATGCATGTCGAAAGAAATGGGCAAAATGCTTCATGAAAGGCGCCTGGACTGCAGGTATGCGTAGCACCCAACTAAGTGAGAGTCTAAATGCTTCCATAAAAAATTATCTAAAACTTGATCATGATCTGGTTGAATTTTTCAAACATTTTGACCGAGTTGTGGATGAAAAAAGATATAATGAACTAAGAGCTGAGTATCACAGTCGACAGAAGCTGCCAATGTTGGGATTGCAACAGACTCCCGTACTGATCCAGGCAGCTTGTATATACTCTCCATGTATGTTTGTTGCATTCCAGAATGAATACGATGAATGCACTACAATGGTGATCTTGGACCAAAAGCATACTACAATGCATGTGGAATACAGTGTCAGTCACTATGATGGAGGAAGGGCAAGAAGACTGATATTGAATCCAATAACTAAAGACATTACTTGTAGTTGTAATCTTTTTGAGCAGGAAGGAATCCTATGCTCACATGCTTTAAAAGTGTATGATATGGTTGGAACAAAGTTTATTCCTGATCAATATGTGACAAAGAGGTGGACAAAGAAGGCAAGGTCCGGAGGCAGCGTCGATTGCAAGGGTAGAGAAATATCATCAGATCCGTCTCTCTCTATTTCCCATCGATATAGGCTATTAGCACCCGAAATGGTAAGACTTGCTACCAGGGCTGCCATGTCAGAAGCCGCTACAAAGTTAGTCAGTAGCGCAATGTCTGAATTGTCAAAGAGAGTCGAAATGCTATTTTGTGGAGAAATAGATGAAATAACACAGAATAGTGCATCAATGGATCTATGTAAGGGAATACAGGTGCAGAATGCAGCTGGTCACTTTGTGACTCCAACAGGTTTGAAGAAACGAAGAGGCAGAAAAACTAAGAAAGTATTGCGTAGTTGGGTGGACAGGTTTCACAGGTAAAAGAAAAACTCTAGATTGTCTGAGGCAAGCACTCCTGAGATGGTTAGTACCCAATCTTATTTTTGGACTTACATAACTATATCATTTCAATTGACTCTACTATCATAAGCCGACTGAGTTGTTGTATATTCTTCTCTTGTCAGTCATCAGAATCCTATCAACCTATCCAAAGCCAAACATCAAGCAAATGTTTGTCATCGAATAATTCTGTGGCAGTAAGTAGTTATTTTTATACTTTACATAATGTGCATTATAGTTCACTATTAGTTATTTAGGTGTTACAAATTAATATTTTACTTGTACACATTGGTTATTAAGGTATACATATTAGTGATAGGATGTTCATCACATGTTATTTATTTTGACACAGTAATATCATATTTTGTACATATTAGTTGGTACACATTACGACGATCTATTAATTTAATAGCATTTACATGTTGTTGTTTTATGTGTACAAACTGATATATATGTTGTACGCATTGATTGATATCATGTACCACTGGTTATTTTATTTTGAAATATCGTTATTGCATTTGGACACATGATTACACATTTGGATAAAATTTTTTACAGATTATTAATTTATTTGCTCACATTTATTTTTTCAATCGTACAAGTTACAATTATTTATCACCCGTTGATTAGTTTTGACATCGTGTTATTATTCTGGTACACGGGTATATATTAGTTGGTACACAGTATGGAGATCTCTTGATTTAATAACAATTACATGTTGTTGTTTGATGTGTACAAATTGATATATATGTTGTACGCATTGATTGATACCATGTACCACTAGTTACTTTGTTTTGAAATATGAATAATTCTATTTGAACACATGATTACACATTTGGATAAAGTTTTTTATACGTTATTAATTTATTTTCTCACATTTATTTTTTCAATTACAAGTTACAATTATTTATCACCCGTTGATTAGTTTTGACATCGTGTTATTATTCTGGTACACAGGTGTATATTAGTTGGTACACAGTACGGAGATCTCTTGATTTAATAACATTTACATGTTATTGTTTGATGTGTACAAACTGATATATATGTTGTACGCATTGATTGATATCATGTATCACTGGTTACTTTGTTTTGAAATATGAATAATTTCATTTGGACACATGATTACACATTTGGATAAAATGTTTTACACGTTATTAATTTATTTTCTCATAATTATTTTTTCAATCGTACAAGTTACAATTATTTATGATCCGTTGTTAAGTTTTGACATCGTCTTATTATTCTGGTACACAGGTGTATATTAGTTGGTACACAGTACGGAGATCTCTTGATTTAATAACATTTACATGTTATTGTTTGATGTGTACAAACTGATATATATGTTGTACGCATTGATTGATATCATGTATCACTGGTTACTTTGTTTTGAAATATGAATAATTTCATTTGGACACATGATTACACATTTGGATAAAATGTTTTACACATTATTAATTTATTTTCTCATAATTATTTTTTCAATCGTACAAGTTACAATTATTTATGATCCGTTGTTAAGTTTTGACATCGTCTTATTATTCTGGTACACGGTGTATATTAGTTGGTACACAATACGGTGATCTCTTGATTTAATAGCATTTACATATTGTTGTTTTATATGTACAAACTGATATATATGCTGTACGCATTGATTGATATCATGTACTACTGGTTACTTTGTCTTGAAATATGAATAATTCCATTTGGACACATGATTACACATTTGGATAAAATTTTTTACACATTATTAATTTATTTGCTCACATTTAATTTTTCAATCGTAGAAGTTACAATTATTTATCACCCGTTATTTAATTTTGACATCGTGTTATTATTCTGGTACATGGTGTATTTTATCTTGTACATTACAAATCATATCATTTGAAATCTATTTCATAGTTACTTCAATCTAATGCATTGGTTATGTGTTATATCCATAGTAGCCCATAAGTTTATAGTATAACTTTACAATGTATTCATTTATGGTCACGTATGTACTGAATTTTGATTTTTGTTTAGATTACTTTTGGTTGATTTTTGTTTACATATTGTTAATTCAGTTGAACACGTTGTTATATATTATATACACATTTGCATCATAATTTTCGTACGACCTAACATCTTAAATTTTGGACACAATGTGTATTTAATTTTTACAAATTAGTTAGTTTGGTGTTATACACAGTGTTAGCATGACTTTGCAACTAATGTAATGTGCTACTCGTGATAACAGTCATTCAGTGAATCAAATTTTGGATCTTCCCCAGTTATTCACTCAGATATGCAGTCTTGTAGGATGGTAAGTCAGATATTGCAGTTGTATGGATAATCAAGATTTTGGACAAATTTACAGTATCTTATTCAGTACAATACTTAATGGTAGCCCGGTGAAGCTGGAATCACTCCTCAAATACTGAGTGCTCATAATATCCGTATTCAAGATCGTAACAATCTCCCACTTTTGCTTCCCAACATCCTGTGAGCAAGACAAAGTACACAAGTTTCACCGAATTCTTAATGGTCAGTAATTCTTTAAAAAGCTCATTATTTACAGTTATTATTTAGAACTATTCTAACCTTGTTACAAGATTATTGTAGGGCATGCTTTTATGAACACTGAACTTTTGATTTAAATAATTTATTGCTTGTTTCAATGATTGCCAGACCCCCATTGTGGCCTCTGTGGAAAGGTCAAAGAGCAGTACTCTCATGCAATTAAGCGACGAAGAAGTGCAACTACCTACGATATAAATGGGTAGAAGCTAATTGCCTTCCATGAATATGTATGCTAAGCTGATGTATCTTGTGACCCTTTTGGAACTAGATTGGAATAATGTAATATTAAAATGATTGTTTTACTTTTATATTAGATAGTAGTTTGAGAATTGCAATCAATGCAGAATAGTTTTACACCTTTTACTTCTATTCAATTGATTACAAGAAGTTATATATTCATCGCGGTGTCCCAACCCTGTCTGCCGCAAACAAAAAATGAAGCGTGTCCCAACAGTATTGAACTTTGCTCCCAACACAAAATTCTATATGTCCCACTAGTAGTAAAAAGTTCATAACTAATGAACTTTGCTCCCAACGGTAATCCCAAAAGGAGATAATTCTAGACAAGTACAAAATTCTATGCAATACAACTCGTAAATTACTAAATATTTGTCAATCATTTATTACAACTAGCTTTTTCGTCGGGGAGGGATATTTAACAGCTCAAGGATGGATTCGGCCCATTCATTATGCTCGGTTGCAACCAACATAGACACATATTGCACTCGATACTTCCACATGTTATCCTATCCAAGAATTGAAATAATCAGCACCACATATTATACATTAGTCATCATAAAAATAATTGCTACAAAAAATTTCTATAAATCAAAATAATATATATACCTCTGTAATGCGTATGCCTAATCTTCCATTCCAGTGCTCTAGAAATTTCATTATGAACACACCACAATCATAGCTGAAACATGAGGTATACATTGTCGTGACAACCAAATTGTAGGACATACAAGTTTTACCTTACCATCCTAATAATATAACTTAGTATTTAGTTATATTTCAAGATAGAATATAAATAAACTCTTATTTACAGGACATATACCTATTGTGTGGAGACTGTTGAGGCACATCTGCGACTTGCAATACAAATCCCTCGAAATCCAGCAACTTATCAAATTGTTTTGCCATTATTAAGCCCAAGGTTCGCTTCTGCAATATAAAAATATAATTTTCCTAATTACACTTTCTCACTAGTTATATAATATAAAGCCATGAAACAGATGCATTAAAAATTCAAGGTATAAATAGTGTTTAGATTTCACCAGTCGTCGTAAGATGTTAGTCTGTCGAACCCGTGATGAATCAACTCGTGAGTCAAGGAGATGAACAATGCTTTGTGTAATATCAAATGAGTATACAAACCAGTGACTTTTGTTCACCACTGGAACTAGTATCTGAAAATATAATGTGTTAAACTTTACAAATGCAACATCTTTGATATAAAATAAAAGGTATTTGATCCAGCAGTTATAAGAGACTGATTACCATATCGGCATTTGCTAGACTTGACGCATTATCTGCTCTTATTTTGAACCACTTGTTCAGTTTCGAATATAGGACATCATCAGACTTTTTCTCAAATCGGTCTACACCTTGAATGGCAGCCTACCCAACAAATCAATGAAATTGGATCGAAAGTCATACGATAGTTAGAAATTGCACGAGCAATTCATACTATTTAATAAACATTGGAATCAAATTTTCTAATAAACTAACAATAAGTGAAACTGTATATGCATGATGTTAGTTGCTGGTAAAAAAAAGTTGGCCATTATACTTACAACAACACATGGCTCGACAATGTATCGCTTAACCTTCATCAGTCTTTTACTCACATCATTATTCAATAATCTTGCATACATATCAATGACCTAAAAGAGGGGTGAGTATAACAATAAAATATCTTAGCATTCCAAAAGGTGAGACTATCTCCACAACTACAGCAGTTAACTTAGTCAAATAAAATAATTTTTCTTTTTTCGTGGCTTACCCTATCTGATACCCAATGCTTCTCCCGCAAGGATTGCATATCTCTTTGGTTAAGGCTAAATTCGAACATAGACACTAATATCTCACTACATTGAACATTGAGTCAACAATGTTAAGTTCAATTATAAATGAATATGAATAAAAATAGCATATTACTCCGAATATTATCGCATGAAAAAAGATTTTACCTCTCATCTCCCGCGTCTTGCCATGTGAAATTCGCAATCTTCCGACTACATTGTGTCAAAGTAGCCTGGATTTGGAGCTGATAATCAGTAGACCTGATGAGGGTGTTGTGCCTTGTCATCCGCAATGTCTTGTGCATTCGGCCATCTTCCGCATCTATATTAAGTCAAGAATAGCAAATGTTTTTGTAATGATCAATTTTTATATCATTTACAAAGTGCAATAACAAATGAAAGCAGAATTTTAGCTACAACATATATAACTTGCCTTCGCACTCTCTTTTTTTATATCTAGACCGACCCTTCCATTGTGTTGCAGCACATAGCGAATGTTGCTCTACTGTAGCTCCTGATGGGGAAGTTAGACCTGCATCCAAGAAATGAACTTCTGCAATTGCCTTAGCATCATCTTTTCCTTCTCTATCTTCAGGTTCACTTGCCTCATTTTCACCAAAATCCTCATTCCTATCCCCAACACACGTCTCGTCTTGGTTGTTTTCATATTCAAATTTGTCCGTATCACAATCTATAACAACCTTTGCCTTCTCATCATCGATCATTCGCTTTTTTGCCCATTTTCTTGTGGATCTAACGGCTGTCTGGGAACATGATGGCATGGCACTACGATGCGAGCAAAGGATACTGGATATATTCATTACACTTTGTTGACATTCGATTGCTATCCGCTCAGCAGTTGCCGCTTTTGTATATAGAATGGCTAGATGAACCTGAATATAAAAAAATAAATGCAATTAATCCTCATATTCGTACAACTTTGGACATATTTGCATTCGTATTAGATTTAATTTGTTATCTTACAGCAATTTCTCCATGTCCATTATTCACCATCTGGCTAATCACATCCGGTGGCAGCTCAGTAGGTTCCTCTTCCTCTTTTTCTTCTCTGTTCGTTTTGTTTGACCCTACCTTTGTGGACAAAAAAGTATGTTGTAAGTTTCGTAAAGCAGTTAGCCGTATAATATACTAACTCAAATTCCAAAAATATCATTGTTTCAGTAATACTTACTAGCTTTCCTTTGCCAAATTTTCCAAGACCACCCAATTCTAGTGTTTCTCTTTCCATTATATTAGCATCAGTCCATGCTTTTGCTATAGGGCAGGTCCTACGAACACAATGATTGAGTATACTTACTCGATCATAATAATGTAGCTACAAAATAACAACTTATCCTTGTTAGATACAATGAACAAATATAAGTTAAGATCATCCACTAGTTGAGATTTCTTAACTTACCAGCAAAAATAGGATGCAACCTCCAACGTTTTTGTGGGCATTGCTTTGCATATTCAACAATTTTTTGCATAAATCAGCTCTGACGAACTCAGCCCAATTGAATTTTGCTATTTCTGAAGTTGATTGTAAACTCTCCCATAAATTGGCTTTAATTTCAGCTCGTGTTGTTAGAGCAAGCAAGCACCCACATGCAAAAATAACAAATAATCTCTTGAATTCATCCCCGACCTCCATGGATATTAGCTCATCTTCTATATCATGCCAATTATACTTCTTCTTCCTAGGATAATGTGGTTCGCTATCAATTCCATCATTTCCAGTATCTTCAACCGGCACTGGCCCCTCACCTGGAATTCCAAGAGCCTTTGCTATATCTTCTGACGTTACAGGCAGTACACGTCCACCTTCAAGTTGTATGTATGAGTGAGTTGGATTGAAATTATTCACCAACCACATGCATATCATACTTGGAAGGTTGTGGCATTCGATCTCTAGCAATCCACCAAAACCTATTTCTTGGATTGCAGCTATTTTCTCCCCATCAATACGCCCCACAAACCTTAAAAATTTAGCTGGTGTGCACCTAAACCTGTATGCCTATAAAAATAATATAACAATGTTGATAAAATTTACCAAATAACACTCCAATACTTGCACTTGCGCTTTGAAACTTCTAAATCATTTAATTTAAAAACAATAAAATTGTATACTACGTCCTTACTTGTTTCGGTACATCACTCTTTATGCTTTCTCCCCTGTCAGCTATAGACTCCTTGTAGCTTTTCATCAGTTCCTTATATTTCTTCATATCTTTTTCATTCTTCCATACAAGCTTCTCCTCATCAGGCAATTTGTTCCATGCATTTCTAGAGGCTATGTTTAGCTCCTGAATTGTTAATGCCTTTCCCTTCGCTTTTTGCTTGCGTGCGAAGTCAATCCTACCAACATTTAATATGATTAGATCCTATACATAGACTTTTGATTTTATCATGCGTTTTTTAACTAATTCAAAGCCCCAAATGTATACAATAATGCTTCTATAAAGTCATATATACCTGTATGCAATGAAATCAGTTGGTGGCCTCATCGGCTTTACTGGATTCTGGTCATGAAGTTCCTCAACCTGCTTGCCTTTATCTTTTGTAACATTCATCTTCTTGGTTCCCTGACGTCCCATTTCAAATTGCACCAAAATAAATGACATGAAAAAAACATAAGGGACAATTTCAATATCCTATCCCCTGAGGTTTCTTCACAGAAGTGTGATAATACACT